CGGCTGGCTTGACTGTGACTTCGTAAGTGAGGGCTCACTTGACCGCAGTTCGTAACAGCCGTATCCATTTGAGGGTGTGTTTACGCGTTTGTTTTCAGTTCGGTGAGGATAACGCCATCCGTGAATACAGCAGGTCTGTCGCATGGTTGGAAATTTTCATTCCATCTTTTGCACATTTTCATTTTTAATTTTCATTCCACATGATGATGTTTCAAACATTTCAAAGCCTGGTATACTTGGCTTTTATTTGTGCAATACATATGCGCGTACAAAGCTTGTTTAGACATGCAAAGATGTTTACACATTCAACAAATATTTCACAAAATTCACCACATACATACAAACTCAATCCGGTGCTCTTTAATAAAATGTACACAACTGAAATGCTACTCTATAGGAATGTACTTCTACTTATGGGATGGAAAGGATAATCAGTGAGCAACAGTGATATTCACAGTACACATATTCACATTTCAGAGGACTTCGCTCTGCTGTTACTTTCACTGACTGTTATCCTTCCAGGGGCATCTGAAGATACGACTCTGTGGGCTTCTGAGTGAACTGTCGATGTTTTGTGCTGATACATTATTCGGAGTCCTACTGGAGCTCATACAGCAGATCCTGAACAGTCAGCGCCAGCTCCTGAAAGTTTGGTCTCTCCTCTGCTTTCTGAAAGGAACAGCAAAGGAAACCTCTAGGATTAGGGCCAATATTAAATGTCAACTCAACCGAGAGTTGCAATAAAATATGAAAATTCACTTACATCAAGCCAGCAGCTTGACATAATGCTGTAAACTCTTTCGTTGGCCAACTGGGGGCGAAAGAGGCGCAGGCCCCGGGACACCTGGTCCACTATTTCCGTGTTGTTGAGGCGCTCATAAGGAAGCCGTCCCAGAGTGTACACCTCCCACATTAAAACCCCTAATGGATTATATAAATGTTAGAATTTAAAATCATTATGCTTTTATGCAATTTGAGCAAACAAAACAAAATATAAAGGTCAAAAATAGAACAATAAAACATTACATGCATAAAAATATATATTTTTAAATGAAGGTATTAATGCATTAATTGTAATATAAATTCCCGATGTATGTATTTAGTTTTCCATTTAACTATTGAATTACAATTTTAAAGAATACTTTTGTTAGCACATTTATTTTCCCTATGTATTCACCAAAACTGTTTTTATACAGTAGAGTAATTATTAATTAACCTATTAAATCATTTGCACCATTATTATTTTTAATACTGAAGTTTCTGTGTCCACTCACTTTGAAGTACATCAATAAAACAGTAAAAATATATATAGTATATTACTTACCATATGCCCAGATGTCAGACTTACTGCTGAATTTGCAGTAAAGAAGGACTTCGGGTGGCGACCAGCGGACAGGGAACTTTGAGCCAACCGAGCTTGTGTATTCATCATCTAAAACATACCTGGAAGGTTTGGAGGAAGAGGATTTTAATATTATGCTGATGATGTACCAGTGTGTCTTGTTCTTTTTGCAACTTATGTAAAGTGTTTTACCTTGATAGCCCAAAGTCAGTCACTTTGACAGTGCCATTTCCATCTACTAAACAGTTCCTGGCAGCCTGGAGATAAAACAAACAATGCTTTTGGTTCAGGAATAGTCCTTAAACCTTCAGCGTTATCTTTGGGTAGCAAACAGGATTTTTCTTTTTTAAGCTTTGACACAGTGGATCATTGTCTCTCACCAGGTCTCTGTGGATGTACTGGTGTGACTCGAGGTAGGCCATGCCCTCAGCGACATCTTTACACATCTCTAGCAGCTGGATGCTTGTTGGGTGCTGCTTCAGGCCCTCCTTGAGGTATGTGAGGAGGCAGCCGTTTGCAAGGTACTCGGTCACTATATAAATAGGCCTTTGTTTGGTGCACACGCCATAGAGCTGGACCAGGTTCTCATGGCGAAGCTTCCTTGTTTGAGCAAAAAGAAGAAGGAACTTAAGCACTGTGAGCTGGGTTTCCTCAAAGACATTATAGGAACTACCATTCCCAGTATGACAGATCAGTTTTATGAGTCTTGTGCACAAACAGACTCATCTTAGAGTGAGTTAGACATTCAGCAATTATCATTTAGTTGTGCTTACATCATGATTTTTGCTTCTTCTATGAAATCATCTTCTGACATGGAGCCCTCTTTAATCATTTTAATGGCCACATCGTGCTGTCCCTGCCACTTCCCATACTTCACCACTCCAAATTGTCCAGATCCCAACTCCTTGATGAAGGTGAGGTAGCGTGGGTCAATCTCCCACACACCTACGTCAAACAAGAGAAAATAATTGTGCTCTTTTAGCATGTAACGACCTCATTAAAATAACTGCTTGACACGTTGTATATATCTTTTTAGCGCTGCTGCTGAGAGATAAATGAGATGCCACTCTTGGTTACCATAAACACTAGAAACATTTTTCCTTTTATCAAACTAAAAACCAGGTAATCAGGTGCACAGACAGAAAACCATTTTTAATCTTCTGATCTAATACTAGGCACAAAAGTGTAACAACTAATAGCACAAAACACTGTTAAAACAATGATCAGTATCTTACATGTTAGCTTTTATACACTCTCTGAAAGCTGTTATAATAACAAAGAATACATTCATAATCCAAGAAAGCAGGTGTAATTAACTTTCATCTGCAGTCATAATCTTACCATAACCAAGGCCTGCTGTGGATGGGGGCCGTGCCCGGTTAGATACGATGTGTTTCAGTCTGCTAACCATGCCTAGTGGGGAGATAACAAAGCCACATT